ATCATTCGTAGCATAGGCACACTTATTGGTTTGCGATACCTGCCATATTTCTTGGTCTAAGAGCGGCACTCAACTCAATCGATCGAGAGGTCTTGTGGAAGCGTCTCCCGTCGGGAGGCTTGCCGGCTAGGTACATTTTTCTACGACAGGCAGTATGCCCAGCTGATCGTGGTCGTTTAAGAACCTAAGTTAAGTTACTTGGTGGTTTTGTTTACGTTGAGTGGTTTGCGTCAAGGAAGTCCACTCTCTTTTCATTCAACTTTATCATAGGCTTGTTTACTGAGGTTTGCTTCTCCTCGCCTAACTTATCAGGAACTGCTGTCGTTGCTGGAGACTCCTTAGTAGATCTAAAATATGCGGATGATATAGTTCTATTGGGTTAAGATGCTGACAAGATGTAGTCTTCTGAATGGGTTGGGTGACAGTTTGAGTGTTTGGAGCGTTTGTGACCAACTAAATATAGATTATTTCAGGGGTGGTTTGCGTTAATACTTCATCTGGCAATAAGAAGTGAAGTGGTTGTGCGTTTCCGTTTTTTGACTTGGGAAAGTTTGATCGATTCAGTGATGCCGGTAGTCGACAAAATTTTGGCACAGTTACAAGAGGTTTGATTGGATTTTGCCAACTTATACCACATTAGTTTTATAAAAACAGCTGAGTATAGATGCATCATTTACTTATTTACTATAAATTAACTTGCTTAGATTTTAAAGACAATATGGTATATGTGAGAGAATTTTCTGCACTAAACTTTCACTTCAAAGCTTTGTGAACTCTTTCATTATGACTTGGTTCTTCAGTGAGGCAATTTTGTTATACCGGGAATGGCAAATAACTCTACAGTGGTTAGGTTGTGTTCCGTAAGAAAATGTATATTGATTGCATGCTTTTCAATAAAAGTGATTAGTGTTACATTCTATCCTGTAACAAACTACTTGACTTTCCAGTGATTTATAGAAATATGTTTTAGGAAGCCTATAAATGTTAATTATTCTTTCTATTCTATTGGCTTGTCCAATAGGGCATCGATTTATCGATTTGCAATGAACGCTACAGTCGTCTCAGTCTAAGAGGTACGTATTTAATGACAAGAATAATTGTTTATTCATTACTATTTGTCCACATATATAAGTAGTATACGTATGCATAAGTATACTTACTTGTACATACACCAGTTCATATAGAAAGGTGTTTTATGTGTTTATTGAAATAATGTTTAATTTTGTTGTAGTATACTGGCTGGTGAATATTTACCTTACTGTTTTAAGAATGCAGAATATGTAGTTTTCAGGCAAAATGTCAGTTATTCAGAGGAGTGTAAATTAATAGGCAAAGATTTTGATTAAACGCCGACTTTTAAAATATCATCTTGCTGACTGGATCCATTATCGGGAAGAATATGAAAGATAACACTGTAAAGAGTCAAACCATATTTCTACTCCTCAAAACAGTATAGTGTAGAAAAGTCAACAGGAGGGACAAAAAAGTAGTAGTTATAAGTTATATGATTGATTAATTAAGAATTACGTGAACAAGTAGATGTTAACGATATCTAACAGAAAAACTGCGTAGATTTATATAATCATAATTGAGTTAATATCGTACTATTGAATATCCCTCGCCTAAAATTACTTTTGTCTCATAACTTAAAACCAAGTTTCTCTAATACCTCAAAACATTAGTCAGCGGCTGAATAGGTTCGCACAATATCTTGATTTTGTCCAGTTTAGATTTTTTATTTATTTCATCCTTCTACTTCTGGAAGTGATTGTGGAACATAATCAGATATATAGAAAGGCAAAAAGACAGGCTGGTAGACAAAATCAACGTAAAACCTCACAAAAATGCATAGGTTCAACTTGTCACACTTCAAAGTAGTTTAAAAAGAACAATTGGATAGCAAAAGATTGATACCAAAGTTAGTGAAAATATTTGAGCAATAAGAGACGTCAAACAGCGTATACATCTGGGCCACTGTAACCAATTTCCAGCCATGTCATCAAGAGTCTTTGACCATTGCTTTCTTTGGCGTTGTGGAATGCACCCAGTGACTTCGTGGACTGATACCAAGTTTTGGTCCGGCCACTTTGTGCCTTCTTCTAGTCTGATCCAACTTCTCCTGGCATTGGATGTCGAAGTAGGTGTTAGCTCGGTCTGCACAACACATGTTCAAGTCACCTCAGTCCCTGGGGGTCCACAAACTCATCGGCCACATTCTTTTTCTTGCCTAGTACCTTTCACCTAACCTCCACATCGTTGATGTGGTGACTCCACCATGTATGAGTTATGCTACGAAGACACCTGTGATAGAAACCCTGCAACGGATTCATATCTTCTACTCTTAACAATGACGTCTCACAGCCGTATAACAAGACAGAACGAACTGCAGCACAGTAAACTCGTCCTTGGATAGGTAGTTGTATGTTTCACCAGCCGGCTCCACAAATGACCCAAATTGTCAAAAACCAAATGAGTCTTCTGTGTTCTAGCTGAGATTTCGTCAGCAATCATCCTGTTCTAGCGTGTGCAGCTCCAAGTAGGTAATGATCAATGTACTGTGGAACATAATCATATCAGATGATCTACCTTTCTTAACCGTAACCTTGCATTTATCCGCAACATACTGACGCAGTTATTTCAGCGCTCGTGATAAATACTGTGAAGGCATCAGTGATTAAGTAATTGCAAACTGTCATTGTTTGTCGGAGGAATTCACACTATTACGATAGGTGTTTCAACTTCGTTCAGGATTGAAATATTTGGTTGGGTATCAACCACTCCTAAATACGGTTCACAGATATGTTGATGCATACTGTCGTGTTGTACAGCAGTGCTAAAAGAGAAAATCAATATAAAATGAACAAGGTAATAATTTGAAAGCGAAATAATAATTATGCAATAGTAGCCTATTTGAGCTTTAGTGAAGGATAAAGAGTAAGTGTATGGTTATTATTTCGATCGGTTTTGAGTCATTTCAGTTACGATCTCTAATTATTGGTTTATAAGATCTTGAAGAGCTTAGTTCGAAAGTCTACACTTTTCTGCACCATTTCTACTAGATATCGATTAATGAACAAGTAAAATTGTTCAGTTCATGTGATAAATCTCTATGGAGAGAAATCACTGTAACTAAATATATATATATATATATATATATATATATATATATATATATATATATATGCGTATGCTAAAATTCTTTATGCAGACACATACAGTATCAGTTACACCCAGTTTATTCTAAGTATAGAGTGATTTTGTTCGATCATGCATTTATTCACTAAGTTTATTATTATTACATATGGGTATCTGATACTTCCCATTTTCTTATTGATGTCAGAATTGTTTTCTTGACTAATCAGTTTTGTGCGAATGAGTCATAAAGAATAGTTATCTGGAGAATTGTTGTTTATCTTATCATAGTCTTATCATTTTCTCCATGGTTCTCATTTTCATGTAATGACTGCGAGGTCAAGTACAAAAGTTGAACTGACCGATCAGGGTCAGTTAGATTAGAAGAACATAGGAATTAAGCAGAATATAGAATGACAGATCCCAATACGATCAATAATCTAGGAAAAATCTCTGCTATTGCAATACATGTATTAACACACAACCACACAATAATGTGTGTGTGTGGGGGGGGGAGGGGGGGAAACCACTGTACTGAAGTCCAATATAATTAGGTGGAGAAAGAGAGATTGATAACTGAATGCTTGGTCATCGATTTAACACCCAACATATGTAATAGGGATGATTCAACGTCTGTACCAGAGATATGGAAAATTTTACTACCAGTAAAAACAAATAATATGAGGTGATAGGACTATAAAAGTCGATTGTTGAAAGTGGCGTGACTACATTGATATTATTATTATTATTATTATAAACGCTCGAAATTTCATGAAGTAAATAATACTGTATCACTGTGTTATCAATCAAATAAACAAATATAACATAGTATATTGATCTTGGTGACTAATAGAGGAATCCAGGACGCGCGTTTCATTCTATTTGGGACTCTTCAACGGAGGTTGAACAATTCAGTCCTGTATAGCAACGGGAAATTACAAGTTTCATAACAATAACTGATACCCCCTTGCACAATAGGTAGCTATCATGCCTCGGTGGCTTAGTGGATAACACTCTGGCGTTTGAAACGATACTGGGTACTGGGTTCTATTCTTAGTGGGAACAAAATCACTTACTGGGGTGCGGGTACATTCAGCTGACGAGTCCCAAATAGGATGAAATGCGTGTCCTGGACAAACCTCCCCCAGTCACTGAGATCAATATAACATCGTGACTATCCAGGAGTATCGAATCATCCGCATAGGAGCCCATCTACCAACAGACCGAGGAATTCAGCCCTGTATGTCATCGAGAAACTACAAGTATCTAATCTAGTATGGAATTACATTCTGCCACAGTGCTAAAGTGTTACATTTATATTTCAGTAGATACTTAGCTTAAGATTGGATGGTCGGAGTTGTTAGGCATTCACTACTTACTTTAGTGGATAGAAGCAACATCATATTGATAGTAAGGAATCAAGAAGGATTTAGTAATTAAGATCCGTTGAGTTTCAATAATATTGTGATAAATATGTCGGTGTTATGAAGAGAATTCAACAAGTTGGCACAATTTTTCACGTGGAAGTTTTTGAACAGTGACTATTTGTCTACAATCTACTCGTTAAATTAGGGTACTTCAAGTAATTTTGTGCCAGGTGGAAAGTTCGTATTCAAAATATTTGAAAGTGTTGGTTGTATTGGATTCTCTCATTTGGATGATTCAATCATGAGGCTTTCTGGACAACAACATCAGTACTAGATCCAATATGAAATGAAGTATTAGGACTTCTCAATTAGTGATTCAGTAACCTACCCTGATGAAGTGGTGTGCTGTTAGTAATTACCCTTGATTATTGTGTTGTCGACTGCACAGATTTTATTATCATTATTATTGGTTTCTTTGTCTAACCCTCTGGCCTTGTAGTTGTTTATTGTTTTTCCTATTGGTTGGTAGATTGGGTGTATGTCTTTACATTTATTGATTGCTGATTGATCTGAACGCCAAGCTTCTAGGAATCATCTAGTATTGTTTATGTTTACTGTGTACATTTTCAAAATCAAATTCATATCCATAATTGTCCACAAGCATTGATACAAGTAATAAAATGTGACGTTAAATTGCTAATTGATATTTATGGGGACGAAGGCGAAAAAGGTGATTACTTTGTTTAATGTACCGTTGAAATTTGAAAGTATTTACCAAAATTCAAGATCTCGTAACGCTCTAAGTGCAAGTTTTGATTGGTAACATATTTGTCATCGATTCATTTACCAGATGTGAAAATTTTTATCAATAATTGTGGGAACTGTTTGATGAAATCATAAATGTATGCAACTATATCTTTCATGCAGTTGTTTGTAATTAGTGTTCGACAGATTGGTTGGTACAGGGATAGTTATCGAATTTTTCCTCTGCTTACAACTCGTGAAACATTGAATGTCATATTAAGCTGTTGTGTATCACTTCACGTGGGGAAATTACTTTCAGGGAGTCATAGATCTACATTTTGAACTTATATAGATTTATGAACAAGATGTTTCTTCAAATTTGGTTCAACTTATATCTCTGGTAAAGTTGAAACCTACACAATTGAGCTATAATGTCTAACTCTGAAGCCTTTCACATCATTATTGGTTGCTGACACGGAATAGGGTTAGAAGAAGCTAGGAAATATTCGGCTTTTGACTTCCAATGTGGTAATAAAGACAATTATGTTTCGCAGCATCAGTCAGTGTGTCAAAGACTCCTTGATTGTGTTGTAAAGAGGCAATGCAACCCGGCTGTTGGGGGTGGAGATGATTTCAAATATAACTAAGAACCGAAACCGTTTGCAGTCGTCTCTTTTAATCGTTTCATATCTTCTAGTTTTGAATAGTTACACAATGATACTGATTGGCTTCTTAAATGTTTAATGTATGGTTACTTCTTTCCTACTGATCAACGTGTTATTCCCTAATTCACTTCCTGTTTATACTGAAGATATTTCAGTTTTCGTCTTCTATGGAGTTTGTATTGGGATGAAATTTTGTAATTATCCACACTGGTTGGCAGAAGGTGTCACACTCATCCACATTGTGTAACTAGCTAATTGCACCGATTAACAAGCAAAGTGTTGTCATTTAGTTTGAGTGACAGTCGATTTTACTTGTTGGTCAATGAGCATTGACTAACTCTGCTAACCGTAACATTGGTTTTTAAAAAAAACTATATGATGACTATTAAGTGTATAGTTCATTCACATAGTACTGATAATAGCAGATTAAACTGCTTATTAAATTATTAGGGATCATGTTACAGTGTACACAGTAAGATTGACAAAATCTTCAACAGAAGTCATAAACCTCTGAAGCCTTTTTCAGTCGATCGTTTTGTTTTGAAGTTTCGTGAATCAACATACGAATATCATTGGTTAGAGACAAAAATTAATATAATATTCAAATCTGCAAAGGCTTAGAAATAGCCAAGGCCACTGATATATATATATATATATATATATATATATATATATATATATATATATATATATATATATATATATATATAAACCATTAGACTTTGTAAACATTTTTAACGTTGCAACACACCGTTATATTACCGCCTTTTCCATTTATCGAGAAAACTGGATGACCATCTTGGGGTGGAATCTGAAAAATATTGTTTAAACGTCCGGAAATATACATAACTTACGTTACATCAAGTTATCACTGCAATTCTATCACATTCGTTCGACAGTGACAAGACTGAAGCGTTCAGAATTATCCATCGCATTCCACGAAATCTTCTTAATGGACTTCGCACTCGCATTTTACATATACCCGAGGCTGTGGGAATTAGAGAAAACAAACGTAGTCTTTATGTGCAGAAAAAGTTTGTGCAGCCTTTATCTCTGCCTTGGCCAAAGAAAAGCTAACAAATAACTTCAAAGATAAATTTCATTTTTATCCTCTTCCCCTGTCTTCACCCCTTTCATACATGTTTATTTGTTTAGACTTTGATCTTCTACACATTTCATTTTTTGGTATGATTATTATTATTTGCCTTTTGGGTTCCTAGTGGAACATAGGGCTTCAGTAACATGTCTCGATTTCACTCTGTTCTATGCAGTCTTTTTAACCTGGCTCCACGACTGCCCACGACTGAGCGTAGGCGGCAGCTGTTGATGTATATCTGTAGTGTAGTGGAAACTTTTCGTAATCCACCGAGTTTCTCAACCTTTATAGAAACACTGGCCTGACGTTAGTGTTGAAAATCCGGATGTTGTTCATGCTTTAAGCTGAGTGGAGTGCAGTAGATCTGCACACTGATTTGAAATTAATGAAAGCTTGTCTTGCTTTTCCGATTCTGGCTTTGACATCGTCATCTGTGCCTGTGTCGCGTATAGTTGAAACGATGGTGCCTTGTCTGGTTGTATGAAAGAGACAACTTGCTTTGGATTTCTGCCGTTGATTGATGGTGACTGGTGCTTGTTGTTGTTGTTGTTGTTGTTGGTGGTGGTGGTGGTGGTGGTGGTTGGGTATCTTCACCACCTCAGTGTTCACTACGTTCACGTGAAGGAAGTCGCGTCTGCCTTGGCTTCCATGCCTCTTCTGTCAGCTTGTTGGTTTATGCGTGTAGATTTTGTAGTTTGTACGAGAAGATATTAGACATAAATCATCATTGTTGGCGAAGTCCAAATCTTTTTGTGAGGTCTTTTGATCGACCGAGCCAGCGTATGTGCATCTTCTCTCTCTCGTCACGGTTTGTTGCATGATCCAGTCCAGTTGACGAGAATCAGGTAGATGATCGGTGACAGTAGGTGGTAGTCTTGTCTTACTCCTTTCGGTTTTCACTTCAGAGATGTGACTGAGCTTTTTGTGGTTAATCACTGGGTATGTGTGGTGTCTTCATATAGCTGTTGAATGAGATTGATAAATGTTTGTGTCACTCAAAGTGTAGTGTTGAAGTGGCAGCTGGTAAACTGCTTGTCGGTTGACGTTATGTGAGTCGTTTTCAGAGTTGGTGAAGTTGAGGTAGAGAGTTGACTGTGATTTTATGCTCTGTTCTATGATGTTGTGTAACGTATCGTTGGGATTTGATTCGTACATGATTTGTACTTCCTGAAGCTGGTCAGTCAGCCTGTTCTAGTCGTAATTTTGAGTCAAGCACATCTTTTGTCTCTCTAGGTTGATACGGCCTTTGGTATGACGTAACTTTTATTTTTCTATGTTTTGAACGACATTGTTTGTCTAAATGTTTGCAGTATCTTGGTGTTCCCATTATTCTTATCATCATTGAGATTATTATTATTATCGAGATACCTACTGTTTGCATTCTTCATATCCTAGTTACCACAGACTAAATAATCCACCATGATTGGTTTAATGTTTTATATAAGGGAAAATCTATGGATATTAGCGTAAAGTCTAATGAGAGCTAACTGAAAACAATGTTGTTCGCGTATATATCTTCTAATTTTGACAATGGAAATTTTCAACTACATGAATATAACAAATGACAGCAAAGATATAAAAGATCATTTCTAAACAACTATCCAGCCCAGCAAATTCATCAGATACTCTGTATGTTGGTTGATGAGTGTCTAAAGATAGTCAAGAGGCTAAGAAAAATTTGGTTGATTAAAAGAATTATTTAAATCCAGTTGATACAAATTACTTAGACTGTTTGGTATGCATCTTTTGAGATAAGGGAAGCAAATCAATGAAAAATTTATGTCTTATTAATGAGCAATGTGTTCTCTGTAACCATGCATCCTAACTTCTTACGAATAAACTGATTACAGTGGCAACCTTACACATTAAAGTTCTTTTTGATGAATTTACCGTAAATTTAGTGTAATCATCATATTAACTGCACTACCTTTTGTCGTGATTAATGCAGTATGTGTGACTGTCATCATCTACAGCTAGTCAGCTTGTATAACTATTTAAATTGTTCTCGTGTTTTAGGCATTCGGCTTAACCGATTTCATATTGAAACTATGGAAGAAATATTTCGACGCGTGCATTTTAGAGAAATAGATTTGAAAATACGTTTCTGGATGAGCAGGTAGTTTTGTAAACTCTTTTTTGATTATTTATGTTTCCTTTTTCCGATAATACTTATTTTTTGGTCATTCTAATATTTACTGGTACAATAAGATAAATCTGTGCAATGGAGGATATTTTCACATTTAAACTTCCATAGGTTTGTTTGTATGCGGATAACAAGCGAACTTGAGACTCCTTTCAAAAGGTGACTCTGCGAGAACATTTACTAATCCCATTATCAGTGTGTTTGTTTGTGTGTGTTTTACAAGGACTGTAAACCTCAGAATAAGTCTCAAAAAACCCGATTTTAGTTGAGTTTAACAAATAAGCAGTTACGTATTTAGGAGATGGGAAATAATTACTGGTATGGGCAAACGGCAGCTCATAAAAAAGTGTACCTATCAAAAAGCCTTTTTGTTGACCGTAACCAATCTACTTTATTTTCCTATAAATTCGATTTTACCATTTTGAACCTTTTCTTATTTTGTGATCGGTAAATCCTTTTTTCCACAGATTGCCTCCGTATTGGTTGGTTTTACTATCAATGTATCATAATGCTCAAAGATTGACCTTGTTCGAATGACGAACAGTTATCATCCTCATTTTCAGCTACAAACCTTCTCTACTATCTCAATTTTCCAGTGTGTGTAGATCAACCGATAAAGAAGTATCCTCTAGGTAGAAAGATCTACTGCTTATGACATAAAGAAATGCTTGAAAAGGATAAACAGATGGTGAATACCAATAGTAGGGTTTTGTAGAAATTCCACTGGGAAGTAGCTAAACGTATTATCGGAGATTATCTTACCCCCCTGAATTTGCACCTGTTTTTACGTGGGGAAACGAACACTTTAAGCTTGAAAAAAGCTTTCACTAATAGCTGTATTTTAAAAATGTTGATGAGCAGTTGTGTGCTTTCGGAGTGCATAACTGTTGAGTACAAGGAACTAGGAGTTGTTAGTTAATGTTATGATTCGCTCTAACAAAACTTGTTTGCACTTATCATCTCATCTAGTTTCTCAGTTTGCCTTTCTTTACACTCGTTTATTTTTAACATATCTGGCTAATTCTTAATGGTGTTTTTCTTTATTCGTTGCCAGTAAAATAATAATCGTTATGCTCTTGGTTTCCAGAGTCAAGTGTATTCAGAAATTATGTGACATTGTTCTTGACAAACGATTTGCTTTGCTATAGTTACTTTCATCATCATATAGAGTTAGTTATTCATGAATCTTATCGCCAATCTGAGATATGCGACATGATTTCACGTGATTACAGGAAGACTTATTCCACTGTCCAGTTGACAGTTGTTTGGTGTTCTTGAAGCTCTGAGGTTTGTTCTTGGACGTTTCGTCTCTAGGCTTTATGACTTTATTTGTCTTTACTTCATATAGATGTTCGGAAGAAGTTCACGAAGAATGCTGAAAAAGCGTCCAAGAACAAACCTTAAAACTCGAAGAACTGGAAACAATTAGCATCCTCATCTTGAGCTACAAATCTCTCCTACTGTCCAGTTGCTTATGGGAATGCTGTTTCTAGGGCTCTGAATTCGTGAATCGATGGCTAGTAACTGAAAGCCTGAACCAGTGAGTTACAAATACACTCACATTAGAAAATATTCAAAGCGTATAAAGCAAATATTTAGCTGTAATTTCTGGTTTTCAATGCTTATTCTATTGATACAGTTTTAACGAGTAATAATGTTGTATTCTGATGAAATCACTGCTACCTTCTACTATTATTTGATGAATATTTTCTTTTGTTTACAGTCTGCTTCTTCTCTGTTTGATATGTTATTGCATTATGAAAGTTGCACAGATTTATCCATAAGTTTAAGTTTGGATAAGTCCGGTCCTAGTCAAGCATGGAGTCGTTGTGTTGCATTTATCAGAAAAGTATGTCAAGTCAACTATTGTGCTCAATGTAAAACTTTTAATGTAACATTGATTATGTTTTATAGGTTGATCTCTTATTTGTAAAACATTCACTTATTAAAGTGAAATGTCCTGAGATAATAGTAGTTATATTGATTTTGAACAAATATGCAGAAGAAAGTGGAGATGGATTGGGCATACACTAAGAAGGCCGACTGGGGACATCACGCGTCAGACTCTCGAGTGGAGTTCAAAGGGGAAACGACGAGTTGGAAGTCTGAGAGTGACATGGAGGAAATCATGTGAGGAAGAAATGAAAGCTTGTGGGAAGTCGTGGTGCCAGGTTGAAAAGACTGCAGAGAAGAGAGTGGAATGGAGGCATGCTACTGAAGCCCTATGTTCCACTAGGAACCCAAGGGAAAAATAATAAAATATTGATTTTGAGTTCCATTTTCCTACTTTAATAAATTTTAAATTTATTTCAGACTTCTCGGTAATGTTGGTGAACTACTTCCTTCAGTAGTATTTACAAATAATTAATTTCATGGGACCTAATTAATTTAGCTGGCAAATGAGGAATGTTCAGTGTGAATATCTTTCGATTTCCTTCTTGTGTTATACTTTGTCAGATTCTAGATATTTGATTACTAGCGTAACGTGATGATTTCCAGCCAATTAAGCTGATATACAGGCTTTATCTGTTTCTGACAGTAAGTCTCCGAAATTATCTCAAGAACTTGATCGGAAGCAGCCTAAATCGAAATCATCATTCAAGATAGTCAGCCATCAAGGTAGAAGTTTTGGATTTCGACCTTGGTTTCGTGTTGCTGTGTGGGCGGTAAAACCTTATTGAACAATTTTGTCCTTCACCCAACCAATGAAAATAAATATTAAACCTGTGACCTAGGGGCTTTATTTTCTGAGGGAAAACTATATAAATAATGTTTTTTGTCAAACAAAGTTGTTTTCCTTTCAGTCAAAGGTCGGTCTTTATCTTCTGATTTTCTCCGCTCAGGGCAGTGTACCAGGTCTAAAGGAGAACAGTCTCTACTCGTATCCAGCCCAAGTATCACATCGCGTTATTATCGTTTCGTGTATTTCGTATTATCCACTCAGTTACTTTGAAACTAATCGTATTTGACATAAACTTTAAACCTACTGTTTTCGTGCATTTTTCAAAGCCGTAGCTAGTAATTTATATTCTTCCTAGTTCCCAGTGTTTTTCTTCTGTGGTTAAACGCTAGTTTTGGGACAAAGTCGATTTCCGAGCATTTATAAACAAATGTTGTTGATTATTTTTATGGTTTGCGGATATACTAAAAGCTTTATTGAAGGTTAGTGTTTCTTCTTTCTGTCGTCTACGTTTGTCAAAGTCATGAATTTACCAGTGAGTGAAAAAACATTAGCTTGAATGCTAGCGACACAGTATTCTAGAATCTCCTTTACGCATAACATCATAGTTCAAGAATGAACCATATCATTGGGCTTCACAGATATTAGCAGTTGATATCAAATTAAAACTCATGATCCACTGATTCAAAGTTCAATGTTTCAGTCATAAATTACGTGTGAAGTGAAATGGTTTTTATTTCCACTGTCGGTAAACATCATTGAAATAGAATTAAGATCTTTGTTCCAAGTTGGTTTCCAGTGAAGCGGTGTGTTACTGTTTAACGGTAAGTAAGTTGATACGATGCAGTGTGTGAAAATAGAAATGGCGATGTGACACTTTACCATACTAACTAACTTAGTAAATCATTATTCTCAACAGTTCCATTCAAAGCATAGTCAACTGTTGTAAACATTAGTGTGTATGCCTTTGAGCAATATGTTTTCGCAGACGGAGTAATCACTGTTTTATCCACTCACTTGTGACTACGATAGTATGGAGCCTTTCGATCTGAAGATATTTCATATCAAAACCTGGGTATTGGTGTGTTGATTGCGCTGAAAGCTAAAGTTATTTCAAACATGCAGGTTTGCAAAGTCTGCTGTGTAATAAGCGACATATTATGAAATATCTTTTAGTTGAAATTAAGTTTAAAAAAAGATGTATACCTTGCTGCCAAAGATCTTTTAACGATTTTCAAGGATCATTGAGTAATGAATGAAGTTAACACTGGAACTTGGGTCTCGACGGCAATTGAATCAGAGCTTCTAAGAGGGGTAAACAGATAGACAAAATCAACATAAAACCTCACACAAAAATGCATCAGTTCAACTTGCCACAATTCACAGTAGTATATAAAGATAGGTGGATAAAATAAAAGTGATATCGAGGTAGACAAAGTTGTGTTAGAGAATAAGCAGTTTAAAAACAAAGGTTGGTACAAATACCCAACTTTTAGAAGACGTCGAAGAGTCAGTACATCTGTTAGAACTGATTTTCAGCCATGTTATCAAGTTTCTTCAATCATTGATTCCTTTGGTTTCATGGACCCCAGTTAGATGGTCAAACCTCCCTAAACGGCTCAGACCAACAGCTAGAGGTTCTAAGGTTACTGGCCTAGGCATTAAGGTATTCGATTAACCAGGTTTCAGTTACACTTCATTGACTCAGGGCTTTGCTCAGTCGCCATGTGAATACCGTAGGTCGTAGTTATGCTAGCTGCTTCTTTATGTCAGATAATCTCATTAACAACTCCAATATACCACTTAACTGAGTGCTTCCATGCACTTCTTTTCATTACGATAGTTACTGTAATCTATATATATTGAAAAATGCTCCAATTTTCATTCGGTACGTCTAGGATGCTCTTAATTTGTGAAATGATTGTGATAGGTAGTGCTCCTGAAAATTATCTAGTAACTTACTACACTTTAATCCATATGGTAGATGCATAGTTTTATCACTTTCCATGTAAAAATATTTGGTTATAGGGTAGGTTGTACAGCTCACTTCCTTCACATAAAAATACATTTGAATATCTACTTTTGGTATTATAAACTATGAAAATATCGATATAGTAGATTAAAATAGTATCAAGGAGTTGGTCAACATTTCTTATTTTCAGTGAATAGAAATCTTTAAGTGTACTAAAATAGATGCAGTTTGTTCAATTACTAATAAAAAACGGATCGAAAACTGCATATTCAAGATAGAAGCCTTGTGAATTGTCAACGGAAAAATACAGTGTGAGAAAGCGTATGGCAAATGCTAAAATACTATGCGTGTTTTACAAATGAAATACTCTTGTAGCTTACTATTCCTCATAAAAGTTTGTATCAATAACTTGTTATTATTATTTGCCTTTTGGGTTCCTAGTGGAACATAGGGCTTCAGTAACATGTCTCGATTTCACTCTGTTTTATGCAGTCTTTTTAACCTGGCTCCACGACTGAGCGTAGGCGGCAGCTGTTGATGTATATCTGTAGTGTAGTGGAAACTTTTCGTAATGCACCAAGTTTCCCAACCATATAGAAACACTGGCCTGACGTTAGTGTTGAAAATCCGGATGTTGTTCACGCTTTAAGCTGAGTGGAGTGCAGTAGATCTGCACACTGATTTGAAATTAATGAAAGCTTGTCTTGCTTTTCCGATTCTGGCTTTGACATCGTCATCTGTGCCTGTGTCGCGTATAGTTGAAACGATAGTGCCTTGCCTTGTTGGATGAAAGAGACAACTTGCTTTGGATTTCTGCCGTTGATTGATGGTGACTGGTGCTTGTTGTTGTTGTTGTTGTTGTTGTTGGTGGTGGTGGTGGTGGTGGTGGTTGGGTATCTTCACCACCTCAGTGTTCTCTACGTTCATGTGAAGGAAGTCGCGTCTGCCTTGGCTTCCATGCCTCTTCTGTCAACTTGTTGGTTTATGCGTGTAGATTTTGTAGTTTGTACGAGAAGATATTAGACATAAATCATCATTGTTGGCGAAGTCCGAATCTTTTTGTGAGGTCTTTTGATCGACCGAGCCAGCGTATGTGCATCTTCTCTCTCTCGTCACGGTTTGTTGCATGATCCAGTCCAGTTGACGAGAATCAGGTAGATGATCGGTGACAGTAGGTGGTAGTCTTGTCTTACTCCTTTCGGTTTTCACTTCAGAGATGTGACTGAGCTTTTTGTGGTTAATCACTGGGTATGTGAGGTGTCTTCATATAGCTGTTGAATGAGATTGATAAATGTTTGTGTCACTCAAAGTGTAGTGTTGAAGTGGCAGCTGGTAAACTGCTTGTCGGTTGACGTTGTGTAAGTCGTTTTCAGAGTTGATGAAGTTGAGGTAGAGAGTTGACTGTGATTTTATGCTCTGTTCTATGATGTTGTGTAACGTATCGTTGGGATTTGATTCGTACATGATTTGTACTTCCTGAAGCTGGTCAGTCAGCCTGTTCTAGTCATAATTTTGAATTCAGTTAATCTTTTAGTGTTTCAAGTCTTATGCGGCTTAATATTGTGCTTGGAGTGGACAGTCTGTTCTGCTTCACTTGCCAGTATGTCATAGAAGCGTCTTTTGTCTTTGTGTGCACTGTTTTTCACTTCTTTGTCCAGTGTTTTATAGGTTATGTTCGGTTCCTCTTTTCGTTGTTCATACTTGGTGTATGAATAATACTTCTCTGATAAAACAATAAAAGCTGGTTGAGAAAAAATCGCTTTAGTTGATACAGTAGTCATTGGTTTTCATATGATTCAACCCCTGTAGGTGATTAACTATAAGAGTTAAACGAATGTGAATATGAATATGGGCAATGAATGGTCTTTAGCTGATTATTTACGAGTTTTATTAGATTTTATTGTACGTTATTATTTGGTTGTTGTTTTAAAAAAATAGAGAAACTCGTTTTATTTCAATAGATGTAGGTGGTTATTCTTAGGGGTCAACATTTTTAAAAAGTTTTTGACCTGTGACCAATTAGTAAAAGCAGTTGGCTTCCAAACAGTGGGTCATTAGGTCGAATGGTGCATTGACTGTCCAGGTTTCGGTAGCTAGGTAGTATTTTTGACGGTCATGTAAACAGTATGCCCCCTAGTTCGTTGCTTGATTGATATGTTCTGCTGTTTGTTTGAGTATTGTATTCAAAGTTTTAGCTGGTTTTCTGTTTGGTTTTATTGTATCTGTGTCTATTTCACTTTTCATTCATAATATAGTAAGCTTATTTTGTATTTTACTGTGCTGTTACATTCTTATCTTTTATTTATAGTCATCTGCACTACGTCATTTTACATTGAGTCATACACCGTTAAGTATTGGAAATTTTCTTCGTCTCAGTTTTTACGGTTTATGCTTGGAGCGTTTATGCTTTGTCGACTGTAATTTATCTGGTCACGCAATATTTGGATTGATTCAATGGTTACGTATTCTGTTGAGCTCTACAAGTTTGCATCCACCTGTACGAGATAAATCAGCGAATTCTAGTGGATCAAACAAATTTCGTGGATGGAGAAGTCGAACGTTTTCACATTCTTCAGGGTTACGTGCATTGCATACAAACATTACTGTACCTGATTATACTAAAACGACGACTACTCTTAATGATGCCAATAAACCTTCTGTATGGGAATTAAAATTAGGCTTAATGAATAATAAATTAACTGCAACAGATGCTGAAGCGATAGTACCCATAATTCGTCATCAGTTGTTGATTCCTGAAATTCCTAAATCAAAAATCATCAAATCAGATAGCGCTTATGATGACAAACATAAGAATGATAGTTTGTCCGATGCAACAATGCATAATCCATGTGCGAAGTTTGAACAAATGAAAAAGTCCAATTCTTTGTCATCAACCCTGTGTGATGTACTACCCGTTGGTGGGATTGGTTATTTATCAGAATTGGATTTATCTCATAATAACCTTGGTGTAAGTTATTTCTTGTTCTCTTTTTCTGTTTTTTTTTAAAGTTTCAGTAACTGGAAAGTAACCAGTTTTATTGTTCCTAGTCTTCAGTGCTGTAGAATTCTATCGATTATCTTGTAATGTGGTCATCAGACAATGACGCTAAGCATCACAGTGAAATGTGAATGATTTTAGATGGTTGAAGGCAATGGGCAGGAAGCCCTGGGTCTGTGTTTCGTGCTTGTTAGCGCTCGTCAGGAAGACGTGTCTACAACTTTCGGTGATTTGATACCTCTTGAGAGATTCGAACGCGTGTCATTCAATGTTGCAGTTACTACTGAGATATATGGGCCATGCTTGACCTCCTGTAGGATGGACTGCATTAGATAAATTGTTTAGTAATGAAGTTGTCTAATTATGCGGTTATTTTTGTAAACAGTACGTTTGTCGAATTGATCTCCTCTCTATTCAGACCAAGGCATGACATCAGTTCATGAAATCTTTGGCTGTTGGTCTGAGGTATGTAGGCTATCTGGTTAACATGGTCTTCAGAATGGGAAATTGACTACCTGAGTGAATAGTGATCACATTGACAAAGAAATATCTACTAATCATCTTCAAAATTATGTATATTTCATTCTTGTTCATTTCTTCACTTACACTTTATTCTTCTCATACTCATTCTGCTTATTAGAATAACTTTCTACTTTTGTTGAATTTTTCATCCTATTCTGTCTTAAAATACAACAACTTTAATCACTGAACCTTTTTGTAAGGTTCTGTATTGGTTTTTGTTTTCTTGATAGTAGATCGAACCATTAATGTAGAAATCATTGGATTGTATACAACTACAACACAGGTTTTCTTTCAGCCTCATGTACTGTCGGTTTACAGCACTAAAATTTATGGATCAAACGCATATTAGTTGGTGTTATTGTAAATGCGAATAAACTTGTAGGAATTTAAGGACATGATGTGAAGAACTGTTGAAAGTTTTTTTACCACTTAATTGAAAATAATAATAGCTGTAAAAGGCTGGAGATGAAAATTTTTATTCATTAAAGCAACAGGATCAAATGAAAGGTGAATGTTTTGGTTTTATTTATTTCTGCATTCAGTCAACTGAGTATGCACCAGTAAAGAAATCCTCTATCATCAATGTAATGAAACCTACAAGGAAAATAATATTCAGACTGAGATATCTTGTGAGTTGGCGTTTTGATCAGCAAACGTTTTGATATCATGGTAGAAGTTATCATCGATACATCACTGCTTCACAAGGCAGTGAAGTAAGTTGACCTTTTATGGATCCTTACAACATGCTACTTTACCTGAGTTTAATCTGATCCGCTCGTTTGATATAGGCATGCGGTGAATCTGGTTGGTTGATATTGGACTCCTTTATTTCTCAAAGGGGTGTGTAGTGGCGTCACTAGTTGACTTCTTTTTTTGTCTTAGTATGTTAAGATCGTTCCTTTGTGATTGATTCACTCTTCCTGTTTGAGTGAACTGATAAATATCGCATTGATCTGATCAGTTCGAATTTTTATTTGACTGGAGTGATAGGTTTGAAACAACTCGTCACTTTTATGAATTTGTGTGATGTGTTTGTGCACTGCATTTCAAACAGTCTGGTAGCATATTTACTTATCAAAGCAGACAGATAGTTGTCATTATTCATAATACTACTACTCCTTATTTTGTTGTGTTTCTGCAAATTCCTTATGATCTGTAGAAAACAGTTATTGATCAACGGTGTTTTCTCTATATATTTCAGTTCCTTATTTTAGTCCTCGGATTCACTATCTAGTTTTATAACAGTATCATTATTGACACTGCTTACGCTCGCTACTAAAGATCAGATGGCCAGACTAATTAGAATAAGCAACAAGGAGCTCTGGGAGCGAACCAACCAAGAACCTATCACGCAACAGATATGCAGAAGGAAGTGGAGATGGATTGGGCATACACTGAAGAGGCCGACTGTGGACATCACGTGTCAGGCCTGGCCGTCGAGTGGAATCCCCATGGGAAGCGACGAGTTGGACGTCCGAGGGTGACATGGAGGAGATCGTGCGAGGAAGAAGTGAGAGCTTGTGGGCTGTCGTGGAACCAGGTTCGAAAGATCTCAGAGAACAGAAGTCACTGGAGACGTGCTACCGAAGCCCTATGTCCCATAAGAAACCCAAGGGACTAATAATAATAATAATAATAATAATAATAATAATAATAATAATAATAGTAATAATAATAAATCATTATTGACATACTGCATTAAGCCCACTTTAACTGATATTTGTGATAGAACTAAACAAATCAGATATCAAAAATTGTTTTATGACGTGATATGATAATGAGCAATAATTTATGCTGTACATGTCATACGGTAAGTAATACTATATCCAATAAGGAAATCGAATGTGGAATCTCTGATCGTTCTTTTCATTTTTTTAATAGGATGATGGCTTAGGAATACTCTGTACTGGATTACTTCAATGCTATCGAAATCGTTTACGTGAACGTCCTTCAGCTGCAAGCAATCAAGAAGCTACTGACAAAACAGTATCATGTTCATCATCGAATGATTCAGTTTCAGAATCTAATGTTTGCTGTACAGAAACAATACCTATGAAAGTGTGTGGTTTAGAGCGATTGTGTCTTGTAAACAATAATATTGGCATTCAGGGAATGCAATCGTTGGCATTAGTATTGATGCAAACACCGGAATCGTTGGTTTCATTAGTCGGTGGTTTAGTCAGCTTAGATTTAAGTTATAATTCAAATATTGGTGATAAAGGTGTGGAAATATTAAGTGAAGGTTTGATTAGAAACCATAGTTTAAGGGAACTATATCTTCGATCTGTTCAGATGTCTTTCCCAGGTAAGAAAATATATTTTTCTTGTATTCTGCCTAATGGTTTTCCGTTATTGTTGTCATTGGATACTTTATACGTGGTGATCGACTTCATAAGAATCCTAGTAAAACAATTAAGTTTGCCCTATATATGGTTACTCTTGTAACAGTAATAATAATGGTAATGATAATAATGATAATAATTCTGAGTAACAACTTATTTAGTCCAGCTGTCAGTCATTATCAACATGGAACCTAGTGATAATGTATAACGGTCGAAGTTACTGTTCAACAAGGGAAAAGACGGTAGCGAGCTGAGAGGTTGAAAAATAGGAAGATATATGAAAGAAGGTCGTCGAAAGTTTTGCAAAAAGGAAAGGAGGGATTATGTCCAATGCGTCGTTTATTCATTACTTTAGATAATTCATTTTAGTCTTCACGATAATTCTTAAATTATAAGGTGAATAATGGCTGTCTGTTAACACTAAATTACGGTCATGGTACTCAAATATTTGACTGACACTAAAAAAACGCTATCTGCTCACTTCTGAGTTGTTTTCCATAGCTACTCAGGGTTTTCAGATCATTGTAAAAAGCATCGAAAACGTTAGTTTCCAAAGGATTCAGAATTTGAATGAGAATGAAAATTTTTTTATATGATAACAGGTGTGAGTCCTATCTATTTTGGAAAAGGAGAGTTCGTATCCATAACCTCATCGCTTGACATTTGAGTCACTTGTGTACGGAGCTATAGTTCCACATGCTGAGCTGTACATCTCAGGAGATTTTAAAGCATATCGATTTGTGATGAAGGTTACTTCAAACCTGTTTATATTTTCCTGCTCACTTTCTCTTTCTTCGTTATTTCAAATTTTGGCACCATAAACTAATGTACATCTATGAGAGGTTCAAAGTTTCTTTACCCATCTGTTTCTAAACTTCATCATCCAATTGGAAAGCTTCGATTCTTGATTGACATACGCAGAATCTTAGTCTCATTATGCTAATTGGTTGGTTGTATCGTGTGTATTTTTCGTGAGTTGACTGAATAATATCTGCAGAAAAGTTGGAAGCGTACATAACAGTTTTAGAATAAATCTATTTTTGGCGTTTGCCAGATATCTACGGAAAGCGGAATGTAAAGTCCAGCAATATTTTACCGCACAGCTAGGTTCCTAAAGTGTCTACTGAGTGAAGCATACAACATTTGATACGCATAAGGTGGTGACTAATGGATGTACTCTATATTCTTAGGGTAACGACAAACCAGTTTATAAGATTATCTACTCGTCCTGAATGGTACTGTTAGAGAACAAATGACATGTCTCTAGATGGACTGTTGACTAGTGAAGTAGCGAGGAAAAATGAATTAGTCTATTACTCAGTGACTTGCTTCGAAATGAGATTTCCTGATGGGGTAAACCAAGTCGAATGTGAAGACAAATATCCAACAACTGCATTGTATGAAGGTCAATCTGCTTCACGAATTGACAGAAGTAAGAAAATGTGGGCCACTGGATTCCGATTCAGTGGCTTGGTGGTGAAGTGCTCGCCGCGATATCTAAAGGGCATGGTTTCGATCTCTGAGGAGGTCTTGGGTGCGCACTACTGAGCAGTCCCGTAATAGGACAAAGCGATTGTCTAGTGCTCCTAGGTTTTCAATATTTCTCCAGCTGATTTCAGTTCGTGGTCAATACCAACTTGAAATCAATAAATCCCACAAATCTGCAAATTAAATATGCAACAAATCCAGAACTCAGTCCATTGCTAATCTTGCTGATTCTCTTCTTTAGGAGAAATGAAGTTGACAATTTGGATTGACAGGATTTAATTTAAACGGATCACCAATTAAAAACGTTATAGCTGAAATCTATCTCTACCCTCTATTCGGTTTTACTTTTCTTCTCTGAATATAATTTACTTCATATTTTTATTGTTAGATTGTGTTTTGTAAGTCTCAACGATAGTTACTGGTTTTTTCATCGCTTTGCTTATTGATAAAAGTTTTGCTTTGTATTGAGACATGTTAGAATTATAAATGTATCATCTCAGAAGAAAAGTTCTGTTGTTCTAGTATATCACGTATCACATGATACCAATCGATTTATAAAACTTTACATATCTACATATCATTTATGACGTATAAACAAAAGTGATTTTTATTTCACAGTGGTGAGTTTTGACTCTGTTGTTTTTGTCTTAATGCTTACTTAGTTATATAATTTACGTAATAAAGCTGTTGAATTGATATTCACGAAGCAGATACTTCTGTAAAGCATTTTCATACATCTAAGGTTTGCCTGTTTATTCAAGAGGTGATAAAGCCCAACCATTTAACCTTATGAAGATGATTCTCCGGATGTGCTGATTTACACTATATTGGTAACGAAAGGTTCCCTATGTAGGATGCTCAAAACACCTGAAATAGATTTTTACTATTTTCGAGGAACATTTAATCTGTCTTGTACTTTTCTTTCTCTTCAGTTTCATTACCGGTGACTAAGTGAAAACAACTAAAGTGTCTTCAACTCATCAGTATTCTCAATGTCAAATTGTTCATTTTTTTCACTGGAGTATTTTGTTGATTTCATGTTTTTCTGTATCAGATAAACCGTAAGGGATAATTATGGCTGAGCGCTTTCCAAAACACATTTTTACAACATCGTAGTCTATCATTTTGAAGAAAATATCAACGTAGACTGTTTTATTCCTCTTGTAGTATTTTGAAATTATTCGATGAGTAGCAAGTGTTGTTGGTTTGTCTATACCTTGTAACTCGATGTAATAAAAAAACAACCCTGTTGACCAGTGCTCATATTTATCAGGAGACCTAATACATTATTATTATATTATGATGACAACTTATATGCCTTGATATCATGTCTTTGAACTGATATCTGCAAAACAGGTAATTGCATATCGTTTCCATTTTGGCGCTTTATACACGCCTTTGAGTCACCAACTGGACTTAACACAAGATGAAATGTATTCACCACCCCTTTCATTTTTTCTTTCTCTCGCACTGTAAAATAAGGGACAAATTCTATGGCCTCTGTATCCTTACATTTTCGGAGTGACTCTAGAGGCCACCCTAACTACAAGTGAAGCAACTAATTAGACTTCTTTAGTTTGTAAAAACCTGCCTTTCCAGTCGAAATAAAGAAACCTAATTGGCTATTTCACTCGTTGCCAGGATGACTTTTAGAGTCACTTCTTTAAAGGTCACCCTAACAACCACTGAAGTAACCAATTAAGCTTCTGTATCTTATGAATTACTACCCTTCTAGCTAAAATATAGATATCTAACTGGTCATTTCACTAAATGTCAGGGTGATCTTTGAAGACATTTTATTTACGCAATCTGAGTCTTGTTTATATAAAATTAAATCATGAGTCCACGAAGCAGCACAATTCATAAATGCATTCACTTTATGCATAGAAAAATTACAACAATACGCATCAATTAACATGCAATTATTTCAAAACTAAGAGTCCCATGGACATGAATAAGAAATCGTTGAAAAACTTTTGAGCTGAACTATACAATAATATTATTTTAATTGAGCCATGGTTTGACAGACTAGTATTGATACTGGGTGATGATTGAAGGTGGAATGAAAATTTGGACCACGGCGGGATTTGGACCAATGTGAGTACGATCAAACGATAGTAATGCGTCTCGAATTCACATGGTAGTCGGGCAAAACCTTTGGTGATTGAAGTGAAATAAAAATCTGGTCAACAGTCGAACCTCTTAGCTCATTTGGTAGAGCATCGGGCCGGAAACCTGGTGGTTGCTGGTTGGAATCTGGCTGCAGTCCAAATTTCCATTTCACCTTCATCCATCCATCATCCAGTATACAACAATAGTATAAAATGTTCGGAGTAAAGTACCTTCTAAAATAAATAAAATAATACAGCGGATTGTGCTTGTTTGAGTTCCCTACTTTCATTTCTTCTGTTCATTATAATAAATTAGTAATGTATCACCGGAAAGTATTTTTACCTTGAATTTGATTCTCAGTCTGATAAATGGATTAATTATTCATCGGTTTACATAAATAACCGAAATGATTATTTGTCTCAGTGTGATGCATAGCATACATTTGCAACCTTTTGTCAATGTAAGTGCCTTCAGGGTTGCCAGTTTCGATAGTGCTTATTTGTCTGCTGTTTAAATCTCGATCGTAGATGACTGATACGGGAAACCAGTTAAGATATTTGGCAATCATATCACCGCAGCATGGTTTCCAGTTTCAGTCAGTTTATATGCACAAGTGATCAGCTTTTTTTCCTGAATATATGAAACAGCTGTTAGGTGTTTGGATCGCCAGAATTTGTTGTATTTTAACCGCATGCTATGAAGTTACTTTAATTCTCGTGTTATCCAAGCATTTTTCCGGTTGAATGAGTGGATGTAATAGTATTTAGTTAAGTTTCATTATATATATTAGCCATTTATATCTATGTCTATATCCACATGACATTGACTGAACTTTAAAGAAACTAGTCGTACGATTTTGGCTGAATAAAAGTACTTAGCTATTTTGTTGGACTGAAGGATTAGATTAGTAGAGTGGTATTTTTTATAGGTAAACAAATTTCCGTCAAACAGGTTATTTTCGTAGATCGGATAATATGTGGAAGTTGTTTCAGTCTTACTCATCAATAAACACTCATGTCCTCTTCAAAAGCGTACCCGATACCTTCGAAGTTAGTGGTATATTGTTAACTTTTGAACTTTTAGTGATTTGGGTATTAGTTGAATACCCTGCATTTGTAGTAACACAGGTACTAATTTAGGATTAATCACTGTGCTGTATGCATCAGTTGAAAGTCGCTTTTATAAATTAGCCTTTGAATTTAAGATAAAGGCTTCAGTAAGGTACTCCGCCTACATCTCAGTGGTCAAATTTGAGACGTGGCACTAATCTACGCAGTATTTGGCTATTGATCTTAGCAATGTAAAGAAGTGTAGACTACCTGACCGAGGTCTTTGAAATATTAGGAACCATGACTGGTTCCTAGCGGCACAGATATATTCTCTCTTTGACATCTAAAGTTTGAACTTTTTTGTATACCTTCAGTTATTTCGTCTCTCTCTCTTCCCACACACTTTTATCTACTTTAAAAGCAGTTTTTGTCGATCCAATTGTTTTTTGCACTCTGCTATGAGAAGTGGTAACTTGAAGTGACAAACTTCTGTACCAGGTTCTACGCATGATTCTCTGTCTTCCTGATTCCAGTTATCCGGAGTTTCAGAATTTCTGCTGAAACCCGAACACAATACTTGAGCACCCAGTCTTACTAGCTTTCAGGTACATTCATCTAATACATTCTAAATGAGATGAACAATGCGTCATAAATTCTACTAATAGCTAAGCGAGTTATGTAAAGGTATACACGCTCAGCTGGTAACGTCTGCCAACTCATCCTCAGTATTAATAATAGTAATAGTCTGAGTCATAGGGTGTGTGATTCGACACTACACTCTGTTTGATAGCTGAACTTTGATTACGTCTTGTTGGTGATCGTCAATTAGTCCAGAGCGTAGTTCTAAGTCACTTTGGTAAATGATAGTTACGTGGAACGATTATGCTGTACCATAAGCTGTTCAAAGTTCGGAGGTAAATAGCACCATGCTCTCTATGATCCATGAAAGTACTGATTGCAGAAGGTCATAGTTGAACCTAGTCACTTTGTCACATTCTGTTGGAAAAAGTCGTTGAATACTATCTGTTTTCACTTATTTGTCGAGTATCGAAAGTTTTTAATTTATACCAAATAGGAGGTACTATTTTTTATTTATCTATGTCAGTGCAAATTTGATGTTTTATCCTTTACCAATTTTTAGTTTTTCTTTTTGAATTTAGGAATTTTCGCTTTGTCCAGTTTTCTGAGTGAATCAAAATGTCTAACACATTTAGACATACGTAACAACGATTTGGACTTAGCCTCCTTAATGGCATTGTCAAAAACTCTATTCATCAATAAAACAATGATAAGTCTATTTTCAGATGCCCGTCGGTTGGTGAATTGTCAGTCTGACATGTCAGATGTAAGCTTTACTCATATATATATCCCTAAATATTCATTTACTATTTTTGTTTTGAATATTTCGAGAGTAAAATTCTCAAACTTATTGTTAGTATGTTGAACCTTTGGGTTAAATTTCAATAAGTGAGTCTAAATGATTTCCATTTTGTTCAGCTTTAGTTCATATATCCTGATAAAGGCATTGTTTTTTTCTAATTGTCAGGAATTGAAAAATGTATCAAAATTTCTCTGATTATTTTGAGTTTCATGCACAATATGATACCGATTAGATGACGACATTAACAAGTTTATAAGTTGCCTAAAAGGTTATTGTACTCAGGATTATTTACTGAACAGTAAAGAACGAGGTAATTGAAGGTGTGAGCTGTTCAGCAAACAGTTGAATTACTTATCTTAACTAGCTAAATGTAAGTCCACAATCAACAGTTACTTTTTTACACTAAGTATAGGACTGGCAAAATATACGGATGCTTATTTTCAACTATGTTTAGTAGTACACTTTCTGTATCTCTCTATCTCTTACAGTAAGTATGTAATAATTAGTAATGGAGACTTAGTGACTGAAGATATCCTTAGATATGATTGAACTTTCAACTTGGAAATGGAAGTTCATATCAGAGTGTTAATCAAGGTGGTTGTATGTCAAGGGATTATAAACGTTTGTGGGCTAAATTTCTAAAGTTTATGTCAAATATATGACGCAAATCTCTATCGCCAATAGTGGAGTGGAAGTAACAGAATTTCATACAGTTTGTCGTTGTCGATCCAAAGTATTTATGAACTTATAAGCTTTCTTACTTAAACCTTTCAAACATTATGAATTAGTTTTTCAAGACTATAGATTATATGATTCGAAGTTTGTCACACTTGTGAAAACAAGTGGAATCTTTTACATTTTTAACGTCATATATTTTCTTTGTTTTAATTTTCTCTTGATGCCTTTATCACTCGTGTTCATTTTGTTATTTTCCTCTTTCTCCTTTGGTTCTTTTGCTGCTTATTCTAGAATTTATCGACTCTATGTTTTATTCTACATTGTTTGGTGAATTCTTCTTTCTCTTATTTCTGTGTTTAAAAGATAGGTGAAATGTACTAATAAGTATTAATCAATACTAAGATTATACACTAAGGTCAGAGTTTCAATGAGCAAAAATTCGGTCATGTATATGCTTATCATATTCTCACATGGGAAAATAGAACAAGGAGTCATTTCAGGTTAATGTAAATTTTTAATGAATAACTAAAGTAAGAACATGATTGGCTTTTTTTCTCTGACCTCCAACTTAAGTCATACTTGATATTTTAGGAATTTTTAATACATCCAGGTCAATGCGAATAAGGTGAATTTAAATGCTTGCACAAATGGTTGATAGTTGGTTACTTAAAACAACTAACCAGGTCTCTTCAAAGTCAATAAGAAGTTATTTGTTTATTGCAAAACTTAAACAGTGACAACGAACATTGGTGAATAGCGAAGGCTGAGATAAAGGTGGTGAAGGTAAGCATTAGTAGAGTTGCTTAGAATTATTGAGCAAACCAAAGTTACATGTTTGCAGTCATTTAAGCTTTGGTTTAGAAGTATTGGTCTGTGATTCATTTACAGCGGAGATTACTTCAACTACGGATTTAGCACTTTGATGAACAAGGGTTTATTTCACGTTGAACTACTCTTCAGTCTCCCATTATACAGTTTCAGCCTGAATGAAGCACTAACACAAAACATTTCAATCTCTTGGAAGCTGCAGAAGTGTGAAGCGACTTCAGAGGAGGAAGGAAAGTCGATTCGGATGGACTAGTATTAGGACAAGGGTTTAGGTTTGTTAGTTACAATAACTGAAATGTTAGCATGGTGTATGTTATGGTTCTCTCTTACTAATTTTAAACGCTGGTTATTCCAGACTTTAAGGAAAGATAAGAATTCTCTTGTGATAACCTCAAAAGAAATATCCTGATGAACATAACATTTGAGTCCAGGTTGTATAATTACCCGACATTTAAGCGTAACTTAGGAATAGCTAACCTCCAGAAAAATCGATAACTTCAAGACCTGAACGTAAGCGTATCTACCAGTTGTTTTCCGTCATCAGTCCTTGTAACACAGACACCTATCAGCTCCCGATACATGTTGTATTTTTTGTTCCGGTGGCAGGTTTGATTCTGTCGATCAAGAGGTCTTCTGGAAGCGTCTCTCACCCAACCTGATGTCTAGTAGGTACATCACTGTACTAATAGGTCCATACTCGAACGCCCGTAGGTGTGTTAGGGCCTGTGGTTGGGGTTAAGTTGTCTGCGTTGAATATTTTCCGTCAACAATGACTTCTTTCACTATTCTTGTTTCACTTTGTTATGGACATCCGTATGCAAGTCTTCATATTCTTGTCTTATTATGAACTGAACTCGTTTCAGAAGACCCCTTAGCAGACCTAAAGTATGTAGATGATATGGTCCTGTCAATGTAAACGACAGTTTGAGTGTTTGGAATATGCTTCTTCTCATATATATCTTATTTAGCCAAAAGTTATGAATTGTTTGAGAGCGTTGACGACCTTACTTGGAAAGTCAGATCTGTGATGGTCCAATAACCGACGTAATCTGTGTTCGGATTCCAAAGGCTTGATTGCCTTCTGTCAACTTACGCCAGCTACGTTGATGGAGTGACTTTTAATTGCATATTAAAGATCTAATATACTGCGCATCAGTTCGGTTTTACTTTTTGGCTGTGCAGCACGGCTATCAGAAGAGGCGAAGGACGTGAGGAAGCTTCAGGTGTTCGTAAAATTAGCTGTATCGTGGAACCGCTACATCAGTAACATAGAAATCAGGCATAAATTCTGATATCAGAGAGGTATGTCAAGTGGTTATCGATTTAGATGAAAGAGATGTGTCACATATGCCTAGCTACTCCAACGTGCGATTTTACGTGAAGTACTTTCAGGCTGGAAAAAATTTAGAGGTAGGAAGACTGAAATGTGAATGTGAATTCTCTGACCATTGGTCTGAGTGATGTGACAAAAATTAGACTTCCCATTCGGGGTTCAGGCGACAATTGAAATTGATTGTTAGCTGCTGTGGGTGATGCACCTTAGAGTCGATCTCAGTGACACAAACCTATCTACACCTTATATATCTTAATCATCGTAGTATATTTCGTTATATCTTTTACCACTTCTTCTCTCATCTCATAATTTTCCGCAAATATTAACTATATTTCTCGACATTTCGTCTTTCTGTTTTGCGTCGTAACCTGCCGATGTGAGGTATAGCACTTTGCACAGTTATATAGTAATTCCACTTTCTATGTTGACATTGGTCGACTGACTGATCTTTTACGTACTACTCATATTTACTGAAGTCATTTGTATCAGCAGTAGACAACTTGATAGATTTGCCTTTGTCGTCTTTGGCATTTGATAAATATTTTACACATTTATCAAATATTGGTGACAAATCGAAATGATGGTTGAAACAGGTAACTGTATTAGTGTGGAGACTTTCCACACAAAAACAAGAACAAGAACTGCACTAAAAATCACTTTTTCGGCAGCTAAATTAGTCTTTATATGCAAAGCAACAATTGAAACTTGACAGGTTTACTCATTGTTACCTTAAATTTTATTTAGCGATTCCCTTGTACACGCCAGATCACGTAGATTAACTAGACAGAGTGGAAGGTTGAGAATTGATTTCTTGAACGCATTCGAAATGAGTTAAGCTTAAATGAGCTAAATTGTCTGAACAGTTCAATCACTAAACACCTAGTAGAGATAGGACTGGACGTTCAGATCTCAAGTGGATTTAAAACAACCAACCAACAAAACAATGATTATTTACTAAGTTTCGCAGAAGCAGTTGCTATCCGAAAAATTGAACTGAACTTGTAAAATGAAAAAGAGGCAGTTGTTAGCCTCCAACTTCCATGATACGCATTGATTTTTTACGCTTCTCAGTATAAGTTCTTTCAAGACTTATTAATTTATATATTTATGCATTTTCATCCTTTTTTGTAACTGATTTCATCTCCTCAATCTTACTATCTAACCCAGATTGACTTGATCTTAGCCCATGCAACATTTTTAACCATGTGTTTACATCATCAACTTATCACTTATACTTACGTAATCCTTTCTATTCCATTTTTAGATTGGTTATATGTGGCAAAATGACAATCTTTATAAAAATGGGATAAATTTGGTTTTATTAAAAATAATTTATTTCATTTAAGCTTCCCTAATCTGTATCAATTCTTTCATTAACTTTTATCAATGGACTATTATCTTCATGATAAGTGTGTAGGCTACTTTTTTCTCTCTGTTTTGTAATTTTTATAGCGTGTATGCAATTGTAAAGGCGACGAAGTACAATAAATTCATCGTACTCTGAAAAATTTATTTGTTTAGTCTTGATAAAATTTTTGTAGGGAATCAATTGTATGAAATTTATAAACAAGTAGTTTATTATTGATTAAATCTGACAAACCCGCTTGTTGTATAAACATTCCATGGATACTTTATTACTATTGAAGATCCTTTATCTCTTAGTTTGTTAGGTGAATGTATGAAATTTCAGTGCACTAGTTAATGAAAAGCAAGTTTATAAACTTTTTTACACTAATTATCAATCGGTTGTATCATGATATCTGATATTTTTTTAATCATTATTGCTTGTTGTCCTTTCTCTATAGAAGGATAGAGAATTGATCGACTCACTTATCAGAAATATTGAATCGAATCTCAGGAGAAATCGTTCAGAATTAGAAGTGGACAGTGTGAATCGCAATAATATTCATACTGTAGATACAAACTGTGATACAACAACTCCCACTAGTAGTTATTCTAATCTCTTGATAGATGCTGCTCATAAAGATGCACCATTGAAACAATCTAATACATTAATCAATACTGTCCCCATCGTAAACAATGATGATAATAATATGTCAGAAAGCTGCAATCATTCAACGATATTAAATCATGAAATACCAGTGAGACAGACAGTAGATATATCAATCACATCAAACTTTCATCCCATTGATAATAACCTGCCTTTGGATAATATATTCAAGGTGAATAAAGAATCTGAAGAGAAAATCATTGACAATTTCAATAGTATAACAGATTCCCCTGATTCTATCAGTGAATTGACCAGTTGTAAAATAGATAGTAGAAAAATGAATTTGATAAATGTAACAAGTATGAATGAAAAGATTTCAGAATTATCGATCGACGAATTCATGAATAAAAGTGGAAAAGAAGAAGAAACAATTTCCTCACCTCATAACTCTAAAGATATAGAAGTATCTGTTCAAAACTCTGCATATTGTTTAAATGATATTTCTAAAGGTGTTATAGCTGATTTATCGGATAGTAAACATGAATCACTAGATTCTTATGATTATGATCTACAAAAATCATCTTCATTTGATGAATTAAAAGGCCAGAATCATGTTGACTGTACACATAGTGATAATGTTAACAATAATACAAGTATTAAAACTGTTATCAAACAAAAGTCAAAGAAAAATAAGAAAATTTCTCAACATAATAAGCATACTCCTTCATCATCATCATCATCATCATCAAAGAGTCATCCTAAAGTTAATACAAGTGGAGTTTAATAAAGCTGTATCATTACTATTGTATTTCGTACTCATTTTTAAGTTTTCTTTTAACTCAAAAAAAAAGGAACTAAAACTATTGGCTGTGATTTTTTTTTCAATGGTAAGTTAATGTATCACAGATTGTTAGCTGTTAATATTCAGATATTTAAAGTACACAAACATGACAAATCTAAAGCACCACGATTGATGAAACCTTATAATAAATATGAATCAATGAATTTTATTTATTTATTTTTTTTAACTTCAAAAAATAATACGATTGATTTGAACTTATCATCAAATAGTTGAGGTATCTAGTTCGATTTTTGTAAGTGAAACTTTTGATAGCAAGTGAAACAGGTAACATTAACACTGACATGAAGTTATACCTTGTAGATTTGTTATTCTGTAATTCCTATCATTTGTTTTTTACTAAGTAATATTTCCTAATGAAGTTAAGAAGTGAAATTGGTTTTCTGCTGCTGAAATTTGATTGCCAGGTAACTGTGATTTCAAATTAACGATACATATTCACCTCAGGATGCTGAATAGACTATTGTTAGATGAACATGTCTTAGTTACCTGTGGCGATATGCTTCATTGGGTAAAGAATTCAACTTTCTAGTAGTCAGCTATAGGTTCCAACTCAGCTCTACATGTTTCGACTAGGGCAACCAGGTTGTATTGTAAGCCCCTCACACAATAAGTATAGCTCATAGCTTACTACGTAAACATCTACTGAGTTGAGTTACGTTATTTTTACTATAGTTACTGCGTTGTTTTAGTGGTTTACTCCTAAACTTTGTTCGGATATATTGTGGACTCATAGTTAGGATAAATCGAAACCCTTTTCTGCAAGCCCTTTTGGGTTGTACAGTTTTGAGATCAAATTAATTCACGTATTCATAGTCACATACAAGTCAGTTGCCACTTATTTTGTGAATATTTGTAGTGGCACATATAAGTATACCAAATAGGATAAATCGAATGCATCCGTAGAAGAATGTAAAGTGAATGTTGTTGTATTAGAATAAGTAAAGAGTATGTTAGGTGAAGGATAAGAATACATTTCTAGGTTGCAGCATGTGTTTGATGAATTTTTAGTGCTGAAAATCATGCTTCATACTTACTGATGGTTGCTGTACTGATTATCAAAGAATTGAATATAAAACTATGGTCTGTGGACGCAGGAAAAGGCCATTAATGTGACTGATGGTCGAATGATGAGAAATGCTTACTACTGGTTAACTAAGATAACGGTCTATCCAGTGAGTAAGAAAAGATAAAGGTCTTCTTGTGACAACCTCAACATAGTGAGTTTGAGGAACATCGTGTCTACGATTTTACGAACCGTACTTATCCGATGTCTAACTGGAGCTAGAAAACAAAAAACTTGAGAAAATCAGGCAGGTTTGAGGATTAGATAAAGATGTGTCGATTAGATTTTTACTTTTATACAAGTTTTGTAAAAGAGGCATACTTATCAGCACTTGCTGTAGTTCTGGATCAAAAAACGGTATTTGACTATGTCGACTGATAGGTGTTGTGAAAGTGTCAGACTGTGGATGAAGTATCAAACAATTATTGAGTGCCAACGAAAACTTTTCAGGCTGATACAACTGCTTAAGGGCTTCTGAAGTGATAACAACTACGGATATCCACAACATTGTCCCATCGAGTATCAGCCTACAACTTTAACGACCGTAGGGATTGAATATTACTTACACTGTTACAGTTTGAATTACTTTCCATGATAGACAGGGGCTTGCGTCTATGTTCATCCCTTTTGAAGTACTGCTGAAAACGGTATATAAATTTAAGTGTAAAGCCTCGTCGCAGAACGTTGGATAGATGTATAGTTACAAGTAATCATTTAGACTATGCCAGTAACTGCCCTATACACTGTTGTAGTCGTTTCCTGCTATAAAAGTGGTCCTATTTATCTGCTCCTATTAGTTGCTCCTAGATAGTATGATTGATTCAGAAATTTTGCTGATCGCTGATACCACTTTGAATGTCTTCACTTGATTCACACATTATTCGTCACAAAACGTTTTTAGGACTTCGTTAAGTATAATTTTTTAACTTATTCATTTACCAGTTGCTGTAGGTCTATTTAATTATTTAATAAACATGTTAATTAATAAAACAATACAACTCAACGCGGTACAGGTTTATATACTCATCTATGAACTACACTTGTGCTGTGAGGGGCTATGGTACTATTCAGTCGATGTGATGCAACTGTACCTTAGCGTTCCCTCAATTTGTTGGTGCCTATCGACTCTATATGGTCACTAGTTCAAGGAATTTAGTTATCAGGCTAATGTCCATTATGTCTATGCATGGTGAAATGACGTTTTTTGATCTTATTGGAATAGTGCAACTACCTCTGTGGTCGATCACGAAAATAATCAGTTTCTCTGATTTTCAGAGAATTTCGAAATCAAATGAGACTGACCTTCAGTTCGTCTTATTTTTCGTTGCTTCTTCAGTTGATATCAGATTTTATAAATCATTATGACAATAATGCTAAGGTAAACAGATGTAGATCAACAACCCCACGTAAATTAGTACATGAGGCGTGAGCTGTGATACAACTTGGCTGCTCCAAATCTCCTCGGTAAGTGGAGTGAGGTTTCAACCTGTTACCCACTGATTGCAAATCAACCTAATAATCCTTAGCTCTATAAGAACTAGTTACGTATACTTCAGTAAGTGAATAACATTTCAAAACTGTCACTCATCGGTTAGAAGCTAGTTGCGACTTCAATTTTAACCCTAATATGGTGATAATTGAACCATTGGTTTGACACAATGATTTTTTCTCATTCATTAGTCTTTATGAATGATAAGTAACATATCTTTTCAAAGTTTTTATTTCACTTGTTTAATATTATGCTTATTACAAAAGCTTTTTATTTTGTTTTCTAGTATACTTCAAAACCTCAAAAGCTGTGAAATAATTCACTCATCTTTTATTGTCTTCCGTTCAATAACCAATTACCAATCTGAATCCCTGATAATTGTGTATACTTCAATTTTTGCATATTTTTAGTGTTACTGTTCTTTTAATGCTCTTCAAATTTTATTCTTAAGTTTTTTTAATCAATATATATATATATATATATATATATATATATATATATATATAATGACTATACAGAAACGTTTTTTTGTTGGGCTAATATGCATATAGATGTAAGTGGTTTCTCTCTTCTGATAGGACATTCGATTATATTCATATACTTACAAACCGTGTAATGTAATCCAATACAATGCAATATTAGGCTTCATAATTCTTCGTTTACTTTAGTTTATATCGTTTTAGAATTTTGTTTACTCAATTACTTATTAATATCATTATTAATATTAAGCTTTGTTGTGTGACAAATTTGTTTCACTGATGAACACAATGGGATAAAATTACTATTCCTCAGTAATGTTAATGTAACAATGAATCTCTTTTATCGTTTCAACATTATCTTCCTATTCTCTATATTTTATTCTTTGTATTTGTTTGTTGTCTGGATAAAACTCATCTAGTGAAGTATACACACAAATACACAGAAATTGATAAAGTAAATCAGTTCATAATAAACATGTTTATCATTTGTTCTCTTTTGTTTTCACATGTTGGTGTATGCGCATTTGTCCATCATTTATTACTATTACTGAATGTCATTATTTCTGTCTTCACCACAACGAGTGAAGCAAAACTTTCATATTCGTATATTCATGTTTTATTTTTTACCTTTATCTCATATTTCACTTTGTCTTATGGTATTCATTGTTTCTTTTTTTCCTTAAACTTTCCCACTTTCTATTTGTTGTTGTTTGGAGACTGCAGTTTTTAGCTAATAAGTATTGTGGGGCGTGTAAAGTTCTGCTTTCTGGCTGTTTTTTTCCTTTTTCTTGTGTCATTATTGTTTGTTTTTACATGTATGTTTTTGAGTAATCTTGTGGGAATAAATCAATTCAGTTTATCATTGAAATATTCACTCTTATTATATTCTTAGTTTGAAATTTATGTGTGCGTGTATGCTTGTCGTGCCACTGTGCGACATGGACAAATCCGAACTGTAACGCAGTTTTTCACCTAATTTGTAGTCATTTTTTCAGATTTCTCAAACGTAACCGTGTTATTCGCGTTTATACTTGAAACTGTCGGGATTGACTTATGATTTATTGTTAATTTTTTGACCAATTACACTACCTTACTGAATGCAGCATATAGTAATCACATACAGGTTCTTAAACAAATGGTTAAGATTACAGTCGTTGTGTGAAACTTGTCCATAGTACTTAAGACTGATACAGTATAAACTAAGAATCGATCGACTTCAAATTGGTTCATAGAATTCAGTTATCAGTCAGGTCCAGAGAGAATAATATGAGTTGGTTAGTAGGATATTCACTATTCTATATGAATGTTCTGATGCTAGTAATGATGAATGCGATTTTTATAGTATTTTCGGTTCATAGCCTGTTCCACGAAATTCTTATTCATTATTTTCACATGGCAGAAATGTTTCCACAAAAATGGAATTTTGAAACTCAATATCCTGTGGTTGTTATCAGATAGTTGGAAATCTTATATCCCCAACCATGCACTACATAATATCAAACTAGTGAATAGTGTATAAATTTGATTTTGTTAGTGTTACAAATAGGAGTGTGGTTTTTTATATTAGTCCACTGCTTTATGTAGATTAGACGTTAAATGACCTATTTCATGTTAATTTATTTTTACTTTGGTAATGGCGAAATATGTGCACTTACTATCAGTATTATGTGTTAGGATTTTTCATGTTCAACTTACGAAGTAGGATATAAAGTCATCGGTTACCCAATGGCATTGAGCAGCAGCTCCACGTGGACATCGAAGGTAATGCAATGTGAAATACTTTTCATTTACATCTTAAGTGACAATTATCTTAGCTCGGTGGCCATATTGTGAAAAGATCGATAGAATTCGGTCAGGACTCAGGATAAGATAACATGAGATTGTTTTCTCT